TATACCCGGGGCAACTTCGTCAATTTCTCTCTTCTTGTAAAGTTGTAATTATTTTAATTATTTTTATTTCCAAACTGATTTTAACCTGTTCTATAGTAAGGTTAAAATCAGTTTGGCAATTATGACAGTTTGGCAATTTGACAATAATCAAATATGCAAAGCTTTTTTTTCAGTTTACAGTAGTATTTATTACACAAAATTTAAGTAAAGCTTAACATGCCGATCTTGCCCCGATCTCCCCTATATTGAATTTTATCATAACGAGTTTGCTTGAATCTCCTTTCTTCTGAGATCGCAGCAATGCGCGACGGGTAAGCTAGTACTGAATATAAATGGGGTTTGCTTGCAAAACCTTCGCGGTCGAAGTCGCGGGAAACAGCTAGTAAAATCATATAGGTCTACTTATAATTAATAATTTAGTGGTCATAATATATTTGTGTAAGGTACGACAAAATTTTGACATTATGCAGATTTTCATCATAAATTTAAGATAAAATATATCTCATGTAATTAAAACTAATGAAAACTATAAAAACGAATAATGTAAAAACATTTAATGTTAATAAAAATTGAAGGAAATACAAAACAGAATTAGACAAGGACAAGGACGTTATAAAATATTCTTATGTTTAATTGTTGCTACCTAGATTTCCTTTATTTTTCACACGTAGATAAAATTCCTTCTACTCTATTATATCGAATAAACAGTAAAGAAATTATTCCAAGATCAAATTTAAATTTTAAAAAGTGCATAACTGATTTAGATAAATCGTTATTTTTATTGAACTTATTGCATATTAAAATTTTAAAGTTTTTTTTTAAATTTTGGGTAAAAAAAATGTCATTAGAAGCTGGACGAGAAAAAGGGTGGTTACGGAAAAGTAAGGAGCAGTTGCAAGTTTAAAAGAGCTGAACCAATGGAACTGACACAAGAAAAATGAAAAAAGTTTTGTGATCCTTGAAAGAAAGTACTTTTTCCTTGTTTCTCGAATTGAGAAATTGTTCGAGAAAGTGTATTGAAGCTCAAGATGATTATTTTTAAAAATTTTACCTCTAACACGGTTTATCCCAGTCCGAAACTTTCGAATAACTTAATCTTGGAATAAATAATTGCAAAATGACTGTCATTTATAAAATAGTACAGAATTTGTGCACGATGCAGTCAGTATACGGACGTTATACTGTAATTATAAACACATAACATTAGATGGTGTTTGCTCATCCAAGTCCGTTGTGTTGTAAAAATGTACGCCATTGAAACGCCATATAAGCTCTTGCTTTGTTTTCTCCTGGAGATATCGAAGGTTTATCGTCTCATTAACAATTAAATAATTAAATAAACGATAACTAAAAACAAGATAACAAACACGCACGTACCGAAGCAAAAACAATATGGCCGACAAACACCAAGAGCGTTCTAATGTGAGCGTGAGTAACGACGACGATGCATTGACGTCAATAAAGGATCGAATATGATCGATTCTAAAATTTTATAAAGTAAACTTCTAACGTGAAACTTTTCTTACGCTTAAAGTGGTACGTTAATCATAAAATATCGTTGTTAGAGAGAAATTTGCAAGAAAATTCATAGTATAAGGATTTCGACGAATGACTAAGGAATTTGAGCATGGATAGTTTTATTGCACATGGAAAAAAATAAGTCGTTAGGAAATATATAAGAGCAGGCTTAGCTCAATAATGGGCTCAGAATTGTATTTACATTTAAAGCTATAGACTTGACGGTGGTGACTAAACAGTCACTTTACAAAAAGACTAGTCTCCAAAAAGTTAGTGCGATAGCTCTAATGGTCACCAAGATGGACCGATATAAATTTTTTAATGTTAACTGGACATGTTTTATTGTCAAAATGTTACATAAAACTCTAAACATTCACTGTTAGCCAGCAGTAGATTTTTGCTGTCAAATTACTCAAGAGAATGGCTTAAATAATGATTACAAATAAATATCCTAAAGGATAGATCCAGTTCACATTATTCACATTACAAAGAAATGTTGATACTCACATCTGCGTACATTTATCTGAAAATTCTGAAAAAATGTTCGAATATCAAACGGTTCATTAAACAGCTTATGAAATTGTCTGTATCAGATGACAGCTATGATAAATTTTTGCGTTTTCAGTAATTTATTCACGGAAAAGCAAGATTGTTCTCAATTCATTGTCTTTACATAGAATTTAGAGTACTAATATATTTCAAGCGTGTACAAAGTCTACTATGTTCGAATTTTAATGATATAATGATTAGTTGTAAATGTATTCCAACCTCGCTGTATATGATTTCTGGTTTTAAAGCTGTTTGAAGTCCTTGGTTTTTCGAAATGCCAATAAAGACATTTGTGATCAGAAGGTTAACGTTACCGGTCAAGCAACTGAAATTTGTATCAGGTTTCTATGATCTGGAAGGAAGAAAAGGTTGTACTTGCCAATAAAAACTTAACATTCAATAACTTTTATCAATTCTTTGTAGTTCTTTCTACATCTCGGTAATAAAACGTGAACTATATTATCGCTTCATGACTTATATTTATTTCATTTTATTAATATATTGCCCTAAACGGGGATACTTTACCATCATCCAGAATAAAAAATATAGAGAAAATCTGATACTATAAAGAATTTAAAATAATTTCTAAAATAAAATACGTAAGGAATAATCGAAATTTGTCCATTTGTATAGCATTTGAATTAGTTATAACATCTGATCAGAATAAGCTATTCAATTATTACGTATTATTCATGTATTACAGCTAAAAAAAAAATATGTATAATTATTGGTAAAAATCACGTGCAATATTTGTTGAAATTAGTCACGGTGATTAACGAAAAAAATAACTTGAAATATACGAGTATATTGAGAAAAATTCCCTCGTTAATAAAGAAGAAATGATCAAAAAGTTTTCCTTTATTGTACCTTTACTCTCCAATTTTATTTTTCTCTGACTCAAGATTTATGTTGCAATTGTTTGCTGTAAGATATTGTAACTTATTTCATTTCCATCGTGATATGAGATTTATAGTCACAAATCATCGATTTACTGGTGTAAATGTAGTTTCACTTTCCTTCACTTAAAATTAATTATCATCTACTTATAACGTTACGATTGTAATATATATATATAATCCTTGGCTTTATTATACGGCCTTTAAAATAAAGATAAAATTGTGAAAAATATTATAATTTTTCAGAGAAATTTTTGAAAATGTCCGTACATTTTAATTGTTTAGAAAATAATTTTCATCTCGTGCTGCCATCTATCGTACAAAATTTTATATTTTCATGAACTTGTTGGGCATATAATTTTCTATTACATACAATAGGAAATATACAAATGGTATTTTAAAATAATATTAATAATTCTTAGCTAGCCTTGTCAATTAGCAATATCACTAACGCTGGCAATTAAAATTTTCACTATTAAGAAAAATCTAAAAGGACAAACATCTATAAAAATTTACCATTGTTATTAATTCCATTTTCAGCACCAAATTCGTCTACGAGAAATTTTGCGAATTCTATTCCCTTTTTGAAATCGATGGGATCGATACTACTTGATCGATCGATCAGAAATATCAACTCCAACCCTATTTTTGTGATTTCTACGCCGATAGCTCGAGCTGTACCTAAATTTATAAATAATTTAATATCGAATTTTTTAATATTAATTATAAGAAAACGAATCGCTTAATACGTATTCTATACTTACTATCAGACGTGTATTCTCCGACTTTTGTGATAAATTGATTTTTCAATCGTTCAGCAACCTTTGTCAACGGCTCGTTCTCATCTGAAAATTATATTTATTTTATTTATAAATCACAAATTTCTATAATTCTTTGCCAAATTTACCAAAGACAACATCACTACAGAGCGTATGCAAACTGCTAGCAGTTATCTTACGGCCACATCACTTATGTTAATGCTATAATGCCAAACAATAAGTTCAATCGGCATCTCTGAAATTTCGTCATTAAATACGAATGTCATTTTAAAAGCATAATATACTCAAAAATTAATATAGAACCTATAATTCAGTTCAACAACATAGAAAAATATTCAAAAGATTATTCAGAAATCTTTACAAGAGATACAGGAAGGAAATAATATGCCTTACAAAATTTATTACTTGAGGTACCCTGCTTTACTCGGGAAAAATCCCTAAAAGGGGGGTGTTGCTGCTGTCTGTTCATTCCCTAAATCTGCTCATGAAAGTGTTCATTCTAGATAGTGCTTTTTATTCTTCGTTATATATGAATGTTTGTCTATTTTTAAAGGAAGAGCGAGTTTTTCTTTGTTTAGTAAAGCTTATTTAGGTTAAATTTTTGGCTAAACGTATTTATTTCTATATTTTCCTGTATTATAAACTGTATTCATTTAATATACATATATCTTGGTTGATATACATAATACATATGTATGTCTTTATTCAACACACATAAAAAGCTAGACATATAGGCGTATATTTATGAAATTATACTTCGTAATCACTGGAAATATATACTTTTTTAAAAACAGAATCAAAATTAATTGGTAATATATTAAGTATATTTCTCAATATAGTTATTTAAATTATGCTTTTATTATAACTCATAGATAAAGAAACTCTGAATAAGTAATTCATGAATGATGGTATCCAATCATGAATCATTTCTGAGAATTTCTTACTTCTAAATGTATTCAAATTAATTTTAAATTCGTTAATTTAAACGAATAAACATGAATTTAATATGATGCGGTTACACTAGATTATTATCGTGATAAAAATAAAGCATAAAATTCTAAGAATATCGTATAATGAATTCTCTTGGAAAAATGAATAACGAACATCTAATCGGAAAATTTTGTTTCTATTACCTGGTAGAAGAGAAATAATATAAATACGAATAGAATTTAAATTTGACTTTTCTGCTAGTTAATAAACAGTAAAACAGTAGTAATAATAAAGAAATATAAATTATCTTCTGTTTATTTTTCTCAGTAAGTATTTTCTTTTAGAGAATATTTAGTCATTTTTCCGACAAGGGTATGATTTTCCACGTGAATCTAACACAAGCACGTCGAAGCATAGAAACGACGCTTTAAAATTTGTAATTCAAAAATTACAACTCCAACTGTGATTTATTTTGATTCGGACAAAGGAAAATTTGTTATCATCAGACTTTTATCATTAAAAAAATAATAATTACATATTTTACAAATAGGTAACGCTATTTTTGGAGCTTCGAAACAGTTTAACACAGATTATTGTGTAATGGATAAGAGAATGTAATCTGTTTCTCTTCTTGCCAGGACTTTTCTATGGGAATTGGTCTCTACTTGTGTTAGACACGTAAAGAAAACACAGGAAACTCCAGCCCCCTAACTCACTAACCCGGGATAACTAATAGTGTTCAGTAGTTTTTAAACTTTCTCGAGCCGTGACCCCTACTTTCTGCAGTAGGCCAAACAAACTGGTGGACTCTGAATACAAAATAACTGCGATATTATATAGTCCAGCATCATTCATGGGAGAACAATCAACTTTTATAAAATAAATTTAATCATATTATAAATTTTATGACTGCCAGTTTTTTTTTTTTAACATGACACCATTAATGGGGATTTTTATTGATATAGAAGAAAGATATCACGAATTTTTTAGAGCAGGTGTTGAACAAAATGTTTACAACTGATTATCAATCTCATTTGTCCTAATTATGTAATAATATCCGGCTTATAAAAAAAACTGACACCCATCAACTTCGTTCAATGTTGTCGATCTCTTCAGTGCGATTAAACGATTAATGTATCTTCATTTATTAATACCAACAATACTATAAGAAATTCAGATCCTACCGAGTATTTTGTAAGTTAAACATAAACAAGAAACTGTTTTAACGTGTAATTTTTACATCCAGAAGTCTGATTAGACTTCTAATCGTAGATTAAAAGCTATAATTTAAGTAGATTTTAAGAAATTATATTTTAATAAAAGGAACAATAAACATTTTGATTTGTAACCAACATATGGAAAAATGTTTCCAAATATATGCTATAAATGTAGGCCAACGACCTAGTGTCTTACAGCATGTGAATGATAAATTGAGACACGTGTCCTCTAGTCTTAAAAGTAATCATAAATATATCGTTTCAAATTCAGTTACAGATTTGAATAAATAAAAATATTATTCAAATTTATAATTTATTCACATTATTGTTAAAAAAAATAGAAAAATAAAATATAATTATTTTCAGAATAAAGTCACGTTGCATTAATTCAACATCATTTTGAATTACTTCCTTTGTGTTTATTATTAAACTTATTAAAATTATTTTATTTTCTATTTTGTACCTACTGTTCTTATAGGATGATCAGTAGCTTATCCTACAGGTCTATGCAAAATTTCGATATTGTATTATTTTTCCAGACCATTCAAATATTGGAAAAGACGGGCAGCTGGATGATGGTAGTCCACCTCTCTGGAGGGCCTGGGATAAAACCTAGATCAACGACAAAACCCCAGGATTTTTCGGGGTGGACCGTTTAGATATGTCAGGTCCCTAACCCTCATCACCCGGCTGCCCCATAGTGGGCCAGCCGGGTGATACTCATAAGGGCCGACTCATAAGGGGCTTGCTAAAAATAGACCCTTTTATGCCTACACGACAGAAAGAGTTTATTAATTAAAAATTTTCTTGGAAAAATTGTCATATCCAATAAATATACCAAAGATTGCATTGTAAGAAGATAACTACATTTATATTACAGTACTAGATAAACCATGCAATTTTCGGGTAATTAAGTATAGGCTATGTTGTATTTAGTTATATAACAAGATGAATAATATAATAATTGTAAAACATCTATCGCGTGAAGGATTCGTTTCGAATCCAATCTCGATCATGTAGTCGATTTAAGGTGGAGTATTGTTCCTTATTTTCCAGGTTGGACGACTTTATTGAGAGACAGGTTCTCTTTAATAGGAAAAAGGTAGACCAGTGTCGTTATATTTGGCATCGATTAATCAAATATAACAACCGGTGTAAACCGAAAACACCACGGTACTNTGTGTGTGTGTGTGTCCTTCATGCATTACCACACCGTTTATCCGATTGCCGTGAAACTTTGAGAAGTTGTTTAATATACTCCCGCGAAGGTTTCTGGCGTAGTACGATTGTCATGAAGCTTTGAAAAGTTTTTTAATACATTCCCGCGAAGGTTTCTGGCATTTATCCTACGATGGATGGCGCGCGTTTACACGAGCATTCGAGCACTGTGCGTTCGATCGATTTCAAATTGTGAAGACCATTTCCCCCTTCAAAAAATATCTCTACCTATGCATTTGCGAACTGTTATTTACGATATTTGTAATAATTTTTGTTTAATCACTTTATTTCAACTTTTTTTTTTTTTGCTAATTATGTATTCGCTCGAACTTCGTTAAAACCTTAACTGTACCCCGAACAACAACCGAAGTTGTAGGAAGAAATTCGCGTATTTTACCGATCTAGGTATCACCCCTTTTCCAAATTTTAATATCGACTCAAAATAATTTAAAAAGACAAATTACAATAAAACGGTTTATTATCCAACTATCAGAAATTTCACAACACGCCAAGGAAGAGAGGAAGGAGCAATTAAATAATTNGTTAAAAAAAATAACATATTAGACATCTCCCTATCATCTGCATCTGACACTTATAACACATATTTTATTAACGCTTGTGTTATAGAAACCTTAATTAACCATGCCGGGAATGCTACTCGATTCGATCCTCCGCAATGCTTCTCGCATTCGGAGTGATACCGTCTTTCGAAGCTTCTGAGCTTGCCATGTGCCCTTCGTTAATGTCCCCACCGATGGCAGTGTTTTTCTGTTGCTTGCACTGCTAAAAGTATCCTACCGGTGAATTTTGGTATCTTTTATGTTGCGGAGATAGTTTTATTGAAAACTAAGGTAAACTGGATAAGGCCAAATTTAGTGCGGTGACATTTCGGGACCAACGGAAGATATTTTTATGAGTAAACTGTAAACTGAGAGAGCAAGGACCGCCGAGAAAATTGAAGTTTACAAAAGCAAACTGGAAGAGGCATGCATATATACAAGTGATGCAGAAGGCCTACTATTGCCTAATCCCTGTCCATTTATGACCTTACACTGGCATAAAATAAGCGTCTGCGTGCTTTCTCTATATTAGCTCGTGTCCAGTTTAGGTAGCCATGTTCTCATTGTTTTTAGACCTTGTCCCGCCAGTGAAACCTTGGGTGTCCCAAAAAGATGAAAATCGAAAAATGCGGGATTCTCATTTGGACTATAGAAAAATTAGGAAGCACGGTCTGATCAAATTTGGCAATTGCCTCCAGAGTTTCGAACTTGTGCGAGAGCGGATATTTTTTTGCTGGATCGAAACGTCTGCCGGATTCCCGTGGACTGCACTTGTCGGTAACATTGAGTTTTTGAGGGTTGTGATTTGTGTGTCCGGATTAATTCTCACACCTCTGGGCATCATATCCACAAGAATCACTCCATTGATGTTCCAAAAATGGTAATTATGACCTTTCCAGCTAGGAATTTGTATCAAGTTTCTTTTTTGTAGCAATTATGGATCTTGTGCATATTTCGAACATCTGAGATCATTAACAATTGTCATTGCATTTCCATTGCAAATTAAAAGCTACGGGTTCAATTATCAAATTTGTGGCGTGTCAATCCTCACAAATAATGGCATTGGCAAACTAACGTATCTGAGTTTGTGGCCGCACCAAAATACCCAGAGCACTGCCGATTGTGCAGCTCGGTCTCTCTGTTTCTCAAAGACCTAATACTCTAAACTCGGAGTCTAATGGTGTGCCTATCAACTGCGCAACTTCCATACACGACATACAAACGTTTGTGAACATTTTCCACAGTTTATTTCTCCTCTGTCGAGAATTCAATTAAGGGTCTATGTTCGTAACCTGTCGTACAGAGATGCCATTCTTACGGACGGCCATTCTTAGACAATGCCATTCTTACGGCGGCATTGTCTGTAAAATACCAAAATTACGTGTACGCACGACACACAAAACATCAGTGTTGCTACCTGTAAATTTTCACTTTGCTATCATCATTCTGGATGAGAAATAAAATGTGGAGTATTATTTTCTAAGCAACCCTTATATTTTTTGAAAACACTTCTTACCTAATTCTTCTTTCTCAACAGTAGTTAAAACAGTTTTCTGTGCTTGTTCTTCAATTATAACTTCTTCAACAACATCATCATCTTTTACTTCTTCTTTTACCACTTCTTCCTAAAATATATTATTTTACATCATAAATGATAAATCTTATCAAAGTACTGAATATAAATGGGGTTTGCTTGCAAAACCTTCGCGGTCGAAGTCGCGGGAAACAGCTAGTAAAATCATATAGGTCTACTTATAATTAATAATTTAGTGGTCATAATATATTTGTGTAAGGTACGACAAAATTTTGACATTATGCAGATTTTCATCATAAATTTAAGATAAAATATATCTCATGTAATTAAAACTAATGAAAACTATAAAAACGAATAATGTAAAAACATTTAATGTTAATAAAAATTGAAGGAAATACAAAACAGAATTAGACAAGGACAAGGACGTTATAAAATATTCTTATGTTTAATTGTTGCTACCTAGATTTCCTTTATTTTTCACACGTAGATAAAATTCCTTCTACTCTATTATATCGAATAAACAGTAAAGAAATTATTCCAAGATCAAATTTAAATTTTAAAAAGTGCATAACTGATTTAGATAAATCGTTATTTTTATTGAACTTATTGCATATTAAAATTTTAAAGTTTTTTTTTAAATTTTGGGTAAAAAAAATGTCATTAGAAGCTGGACGAGAAAAAGGGTGGTTACGGAAAAGTAAGGAGCAGTTGCAAGTTTAAAAGAGCTGAACCAATGGAACTGACACAAGAAAAATGAAAAAAGTTTTGTGATCCTTGAAAGAAAGTACTTTTTCCTTGTTTCTCGAATTGAGAAATTGTTCGAGAAAGTGTATTGAAGCTCAAGATGATTATTTTAAAAAATTTTACCTCTAACACGGTTTATCCCAGTCCGAAACTTTCGAATAACTTAATCTTGGAATAAATAATTGCAAAATGACTGTCATTTATAAAATAGTACAGAATTTGTGCACGATGCAGTCAGTATACGGACGTTATACTGTAATTATAAACACATAACATTAGATGGTGTTTGCTCATCCAAGTCCGTTGTGTTGTAAAAATGTACGCCATTGAAACGCCATATAAGCTCTTGCTTTGTTTTCTCCTGGAGATATCGAAGGTTTATCGTCTCATTAACAATTAAATAATTAAATAAACGATAACTAAAAACAAGATAACAAACACGCACGTACCGAAGCAAAAACAATATGGCCGACAAACACCAAGAGCGTTCTAATGTGAGCGTGAGTAACGACGACGATGCATTGACGTCAATAAAGGATCGAATATGATCGATTCTAAAATTTTATAAAGTAAACTTCTAACGTGAAACTTTCCTTACGCTTAAAGTGGTACGTTAATCATAAAATATCGTTGTTAGAGAGAAATTTGCAAGAAAATTCATAGTATAAGGATTTCGACGAATGACTAAGGAATTTGAGCATGGATAATTTTATTGCACATGGAAAAAAATAAGTCGTTAGGAAATATATAAGAGCAGGCTTGGCTCAATAATGGGCTTAGAATTGTATTTACATTTAAAGCTATAGACTTGACGGTGGTGACTAAACAGTCACGTTACAAAAAGACTAGTCTCCAAAAAGTTAGTGCGATAGCTCTAATGGTCACCAAGATGGACCGATATAAATTTTTTAATGTTAACTGGACATGTTTTATTGTCAAAATGTTACATAAAACTCTAAACATTCACTGTTAGCCAGCAGTAGATTTTTGCTGTCAAATTACTCAAGAGAATGGCTTAAATAATGATTACAAATAAATATCCTAAAGGATAGATCCAGTTCACATTATTCACATTACAAAGAAATGTTGATACTCACATCTGCGTACATTTATCTGAAAATTCTGAAAAAATGTTCGAATATCAAACGGTTCATTAAACAGCTTATGAAATTGTCTGTATCAGATGACAGCTATGATAAATTTTTGCGTTTTCAGTAATTTATTCACGGAAAAGCAAGATTGTTCTCAATTCATTGTCTTTACATAGAATTTAGAGTACTAATATATTTCAAGCGTGTACAAAGTCTACTATGTTCGAATTTTAATGATATAATGATTAGTTGTAAATGTATTCCAACCTCGCTGTATATGATTTCTGGTTTTAAAGCTGTTTGAAGTCCTTGGTTTTTCGAAATGCCAATAAAGACATTTGTGATCAGAAGGTTAACGTTACCGGTCAAGCAACTGAAATTTGTATCAGGTTTCTATGATCTGGAAGGAAGAAAAGGTTGTACTTGCCAATGAAAACTTAACATTCAATAACTTTTATCAATTCTTTGTAGTTCTTTCCGCATCTCGGTAATAAAACGTGAACTATATTATCGCTTCATGACTTATATTTATTTCATTTTATTAATATATTGCCCTAAACGGGGATACTTTACCATCATCCAGAATAAAAAATATAGAGAAAATCTGATACTATAAAGAATTTAAAATAATTTCTAAAATAAAATACGTAAGGAATAATCGAAATTTGTCCATTTGTATAGCATTTGAATTAGTTATAACATCTGATCAGAATAAGCTATTCAATTATTACGTATTATTCATGTATTACAGCTAAAAAAAAAATATGTATAATTATTGGTAAAAATCACGTGCAATATTTGTTGAAATTAGTCACGGTGATTAACGAAAAAAATAACTTGAAATATACGAGTATATTGAGAAAAATTCCCTCGTTAATAAAGAAGAAATGATCAAAAAGTTTTCCTTTATTGTACCTTTACTCTCCAATTTTATTTTTCTCTGACTCAAGATTTATGTTGCAATTGTTTGCTGTAAGATATTGTAACTTATTTCATTTCCATCGTGATATGAGATTTATAGTCACAAATCATCGATTTACTGGTGTAAATGTAGTTTCACTTTCCTTCACTTAAAATTAATTATCATCTACTTATAACGTTACGATTGTAATATATATATATAATCCTTGGCTTTATTATACGGCCTTTAAAATAAAGATAAAATTGTGAAAAATATTATAATTTTTCAGAGAAATTTTTGAAAATGTCCGTACATTTTAATTGTTTAGAAAATAATTTTCATCTCGTGCTGCCATCTATCGTACAAAATTTTATATTTTCATGAACTTGTTGGGCATATAATTTTCTATTACATACAATAGGAAATATACAAATGGTATTTTAAAATAATATTAATAATTCTTAGCTAGCCTTGTCAATTAGCAATATCACTAACGCTGGCAATTAAAATTTTCACTATTAAGAAAAATCTAAAAGGACAAACATCTATAAAAATTTACCATTGTTATTAATTCCATTTTCAGCACCAAATTCGTCTACGAGAAATTTTGCGAATTCTATTCCCTTTTTGAAATCGATGGGATCGATACTACTTGATCGATCGATCAGAAATATCAACTCCAACCCTATTTTTGTGATTTCTACGCCGATAGCTCGAGCTGTACCTAAATTTATAAATAATTTAATATCGAATTTTTTAATATTAATTATAAGAAAACGAATCGCTTAATACGTATTCTATACTTACTATCAGACGTGTATTCTCCGACTTTTGTGATAAATTGATTTTTCAATCGTTCAGCAACCTTTGTCAACGGCTCGTTCTCATCTGAAAATTATATTTATTTTATTTATAAATCACAAATTTCTATAATTCTTTGCCAAATTTACCAAAGACAACATCACTACAGAGCGTATGCAAACTGCTAGCAGTTATCTTACGGCCACATCACTTATGTTAATGCTATAATGCCAAACAATAAGTTCAATCGGCATCTCTGAAATTTCGTCATTAAATACGAATGTCATTTTAAAAGCATAATATACTCAAAAATTAATATAGAACCTATAATTCAGTTCAACAACATAGAAAAATATTCAAAAGATTATTCAGAAATCTTTACAAGAGATACAGGAAGGAAATAATATGCCTTACAAAATTTATTACTTGAGGTACCCTGCTTTACTCGGGAAAAATCCCTAAAAGGGGGGTGTTGCTGCTGTCTGTTCATTCCCTAAATCTGCTCATGAAAGTGTTCATTCTAGATAGTGCTTTTTATTCTTCGTTATATATGAATGTTTGTCTATTTTTAAAGGAAGAGCGAGTTTTTCTTTGTTTAGTAAAGCTTATTTAGGTTAAATTTTTGGCTAAACGTATTTATTTCTATATTTTCCTGTATTATAAACTGTATTCATTTAATATACATATATCTTGGTTGATATACATAATACATATGTATGTCTTTATTCAACACACATAAAAAGCTAGACATATAGGCGTATATTTATGAAATTATACTTCGTAATCACTGGAAATATATACTTTTTTAAAAACAGAATCAAAATTAATTGGTAATATATTAAGTATATTTCTCAATATAGTTATTTAAATTATGCTTTTATTATAACTCATAGATAAAGAAACTCTGAATAAGTAATTCATGAATGATGGTATCCAATCATGAATCATTTCTGAGAATTTCTTACTTCTAAATGTATTCAAATTAATTTTAAATTCGTTAATTTAAACGAATAAACATGAATTTAATATGATGCGGTTACACTAGATTATTATCGTGATAAAAATAAAGCATAAAATTCTAAGAATATCGTATAATGAATTCTCTTGGAAAAATGAATAACGAACATCTAATCGGAAAATTTTGTTTCTATTACCTGGTAGAAGAGAAATAATATAAATACGAATAGAATTTAAATTTGACTTTTCTGCTAGTTAATAAACAGTAAAACAGTAGTAATAATAAAGAAATATAAATTATCTTCTGTTTATTTTTCTCAGTAAGTATTTTCTTTTAGAGAATATTTAGTCATTTTTCCGACAAGGGTATGATTTTCCACGTGAATCTAACACAAGCACGTCGAAGCATAGAAACGACGCTTTAAAATTTGTAATTCAAAAATTACAACTCCAACTGTGATTTATTTTGATTCGGACAAAGGAAAATTTGTTATCATCAGACTTTTATCATTAAAAAAATAATAATTACATATTTTACAAATAGGTAACGCTATTTTTGGAGCTTCGAAACAGTTTAACACAGATTATTGTGTAATGGATAAGAGAATGTAATCTGTTTCTCTTCTTGCCAGGACTTTTCTATGGGAATTGGTCTCTACTTGTGTTAGACACGTAAAGAAAACACAGGAAACTCCAGCCCCCTAACTCGCTAACCCGGGATAACTAATAGTGTTCAGTAGTTTTTAAACTTTCTCGAGCCGTGACCCCTACTTTCTGCAGTAGGCCAAACAAACTGGTGGACTCTGAATACAAAATAACTGCGATATTATATAGTCCAGCATCATTCATGGGAGAACAATCAACTTTTATAAAATAAATTTAATCATATTATAAATTTTATGACTGCCAGTTTTTTTTAACATGACACCATTAATGGGGATTTTTATTGATATAGAAGAAAGATATCACGAATTTTTTAGAGCAGGTGTTGAACAAAATGTTTACAACTGATTATCAATCTCATTTGTCCTAATTATGTAATAATATCCGGCTTATAAAAAAAACTGACACCCATCAACTTCGTTCAATGTTGTCGATCTCTTCAGTGCGATTAAACGATTAATGTATCTTCATTTATTAATACCAACAATACTATAAGAAATTCAGATCCTACCGAGTATTTTGTAAGTTAAACATAAACAAGAAACTGTTTTAACGTGTAATTTTTACATCCAGAAGTCTGATTAGACTTCTAATCGTAGATTAAAAGCTATAATTTAAGTAGATTTTAAGAAATTATATTTTAATAAAAGGAACAATAAACATTTTGATTTGTAACCAACATATGGAAAAATGTTTCCAAATATATGCTATAAATGTAGGCCAACGACCTAGTGTCTTACAGCATGTGAATGATAAATTGAGACACGTGTCCTCTAGTCTTAAAAGTAATCATAAATATATCGTTTCAAATTCAGTTACAGATTTGAATAAATAAAAATATTATTCAAATTTATAATTTATTCACATTATTGTTAAAAAAAATAGAAAAATAAAATATAATTATTTCCAGAATAAAGTCACGTTGCATTAATTCAACATCATTTTGAATTACTTCCTTTGTGTTTATTATTAAACTTATTAAAATTATTTTATTTTCTATTTTGTACCTACTGTTCTTATAGGATGATCAGTAGCTTATCCTACAGGTCTATGCAAAATTTCGATATTGTATTATTTTTCCAGACCATTCAAATATTGGAAAAGACGGGCAGCTGGATGATGGTAGTCCACCTCTCTGGAGGGCCTGGGATAAAACCTAGATCAACGACAAAACCCCAGGATTTTTCGGGGTGGACCGTTTAGATATGTCAGGTCCCTAACCCTCATCACCCGGCTGCCCCATAGTGGGCCAGCCGGGTGATACTCATAAGGGCCGACTCATAAGGGGCTTGCTAAAAATAGACCCTTTTATGCCTACACGACAGAAAGAGTTTATTAATTAAAAATTTTCTTGGAAAAATTGTCATATCCAATAAATATACCAAAGATTGCATTGTAAGAAGATAACTACATTTATATTACAGTACTAGATAAACCATGCAATTTTCGGGTAATTAAGTATAGGCTATGTTGTATTTAGTTATATAACAAGATGAATAATATAATAATTGTAAAACATCTATCGCGTGAAGGATTCGTTTCGAATCCAATCTCGATCATGTAGTCGATTTAAGGTGGAGTATTGTTCCTTATTTTCCAGGTTGGACGACTTTATTGAGAGACAGGTTCTCTTTAATAGGAAAAAGGTAGACCAGTGTCGTTATATTTGGCATCGATTAATCAAATATAACAACCGGTGTAAACCGAAAACACCACGGTACTAAATTTCTCCCGTTAGATAGGCTTTACCGTGTTTAGTGTATGATATACAGAAATTAATCTCTAATATCATTTTATTTTTAAAATAAAACAGTAAAATTATTTGAAATTTGCAATTTGAAAAAATTGTACACTTATAAATTCCCTCTGTCGTCTTTCTTTAATCTCGAGAACGGAGTTAGATAGATGAAAGACGAGACCTCCACCTAAGGGGCAGGAGGCCCCAATTAACTATATATAACTTCCGATGCAAACCGGAAATTACGTTATTTCATTCAAAAATTTCCCCCTGAAATATGTTAGATAGATGACCCGCACGACTCTATTGTTAAAAGTATGATGTACAGTACAGAGGCAAGTCACTACTAATTTGAGGTGGAGAGCATATATTTTAAATATTTAAAAATGACTAAATTTCAAATTAAATTTTATTTTATTGCCGTAAAAAGTAAGAATACTTTTATTATCTAGCAATTCAATTTTTATAGATTTAATAATGTAATTCGTTTCATTATATAACAATAATATAGAATAAAACAATCGCTGAAGGAAAAGTGGCAAAGTAGTATTATACAATAAAATAATAGTAATAATATAGTAATCTATGCTGTAATCATACCTTGGCATATAGGTTCAATACCATCCCAATGCCTACTTTTTAGGCATTTTCTGGATCGATCACCCAAAAGTCGATATCCAGCATCGCAAAAGTAGACGATTTCGTCGCCAACATTCCAATCACCCATAATTGATCCATATTTTATGGCATTTGGCGGTTTACATCTATTAACTAAATAAACAATTCATCACGAAAAAATAATTATTGTAAATTTCATGTAAATGATTAAGAGCGTTACACGGTAGAAGACATTTTGGAATAATGGTACTACTCCAATTGCCTTGTCTGCAACGTAAGTAGGTAGGCCCAGAAAGACGAAAACCATTGTCGCAACTGAAAAATACTTTGTCTCTATTTACTCGAATTTTACCATTCGGAAACTCGATTATTGGTAGAGGAGGGCAGTCAATTTCTATGGGAAAAAAAGTTAATATGTGTTAAAATTTGTCTCAAAGCAAATCGAACTTACCGACATTAAATATTTTTAACGTATCCGACTTACTATATTGCTCTGTAATTGGAATTTCCGAAATATAAAATGAAATTAAGAGAAGAAAAATAGCTTCCATCTTAAAACAAAATATTAATGTAATGAAGAACAGGAAGAATTATATCGAAGAGACTTCCTTCACAGAAGGAACGAGAATCTGTCTGATAAAGGAGCGATTCCTTTACGCAATACTTTCATTTTATACTAAAAAAATTAATTAATTAACAAATAAAATTATTTAGAAGCGAATTAAACATCGGAATCTACAAAAACTATTTGGCATTTGCTAGGAGTATTGTCACTAATGGTGATTCTAGATTTAATCTAAAAAAAAAAAGAAAGAATCTTCTATTAGTCTTATGGTATGTTTAATTCCGCATTCCGTTAAATATTTCATAATTTTTTAATGTATTCTTCTGACTAAAAGACATATTTACTGTAAAGCGTTGTATTTGATTTTTTTTGTAAATGGTCAATAGAAATATTTAGGTCATGTTAACACTGCCGCTTATTATCTATTAAACAGGTGCCTTTCGGTAATAAAGTCACGAATCGCAAATATGTAACAGCATAAATATTAAACTAACTGTACTCAGAAATTCTAACAAGCCGACATAAATGTTTCTTTGTGAGTTAATTAAAAGAATTTGGGACTCGTATTTTATTAAACTTTAAATTAGACAAAGAAGAGCCTTCTAAGAACACTAATATTCTTCGTATGTGAATAAATTCTATCTTGCTTCTAATTAAATCTCAGTAACACTTCTAAATTTAGTTAAAATAGTTTTAGAAAGGCATTTAAGACAAATGGAGGGAAAAAAAACACCACTCGCTTCCGGTTATGGTATTTGAATGTAACACGTAATTATTTTCAATGATGTTATCTAACTACAAGAACAATCCGGTAACTTCATCATTAATTTATTAATGATAAAATTTATTACGTATGGTAAATATTTTCGTTAACCTTTTCTACATTTTTAACCTTTTCCGAAACTTCTCGAAGTATTCTAAAACGTTAGTTTAACGACCCATAAACACGAACCTAATTAAAATGACTTCATTACCAGACTTTCTACGATTTGGGGTCCAACGACCGATGACATAATGCTTGTCCAGCGTTCCATAGACCAGTCACGTAAGTGGGATGACAAAGACAATTTATAATAGACGAAATATTACGTACAGTACGTAGAAAAATATATATTTATGTAAAGAATTAACCATTGAATTTCGTCAAATATTTATGGCATTCTTTACCATTGTAATTATTTTGTAAGAATAATTAATAATGTAGGGGGAATAATTCAACTTGGTTGTACGCACCCTTCAGATGACGCATTATGGTTACATCCGCTGTAAACTTGTCTACGAAGTTTGACCTTGCAGTGACCAGTTATATCAAACTGAAATAAGCGGATATTGAAAGGTGACGGACGGATGGTGCCAGCGTGTTTTAGTTTGAAAATCTTCAGTTTAAAATTGTAATAAGCTCATTTTAAAATGACAAAAGATACGGTTTATATTTTACGCTCTCGTCAGTGGTATTACAATTGGCATCAATTTTGTATGGAGTAACTCGTTTCGGTTGAATAAAGTTAAATAGCTATTGATACAACACAATTTTATTATTGTTTTCGGACATTTATTCTCACCAACTGGATATTTTTATTAATAGAATACAACATTTTTGCTCTCTCCTTCTATTGCAATGAAATATTGCAATGCTCACCATTATAAAAATGTACTTTTTTTTTATTCTCATTAAATCGAGTATTTTTTTTTATTAAATTTGGACGTCTTTCTATTGAAAAAATAACATTTTTTTCTTTCTTTTTTTTTCAATTAAAAAGGAAAAAACTTACATTTCCTTGTCTTACCAAAAAACTTTAGTAATTATTTTTTACATTAATGTGCTTATCTATGAATAATATTGAAAATTGTGACAGTTTTTTCATAAATTTTTGCACCAAATAAGAAATTTTTCTTACAATTGATAAATTTTCCATTAGAGAAATGCTCTCCACGAACCTTGACCTTGGCCAGTTTGTCTCCACGTAAGAAAAATTGCTTCAGTCTCTCGTAATTTCGATACATCCTCATATAGTACTATACGAGTGTATATGTAATTTATAATTTTAGAATTAATCTTCGCGAAATATTTCAACTAGGAAGTTATCTACACGACTTTAGAAATAAATAAGAATGACTAACATATGTCTGATAAGATTACTTTTCCTGTAAAATACTTAAAGAAATTCGACTGGATGTAGATAAGTGATGCAATTATTTCATAACAATAACTTAAAAATTCCCCAATTGTGGTGCGATAAACTTTACCTTCATTTATAAATTATATTTTTATAATTAAAAATTCCTAATTTATAAGAAAAATTAGTGATATAAAGGCGAATTTAAGACGAATACAAAAACTTCGTTCTAGTAAATCTTGTGTTAGAAAAATAGTGATTTAAATTATTTCTAAACTGTTAAGGTTAAGAATTTTCTAAATTTTATGTATCTTTTCTTATTAAATATTCATTAGCATAAAGAATATGAGGTAATTAGGTCAGATATTTTTAGGAAATGAAAGCAACAAAACTGTTTATTGCAATCGAAAGATCTAACAAAAAACAGAGGACTACATTACTCGAACCTGTTGCATAATTCGTAGAAAATCCATCGAACGTAATTCCGCAAAGATACCGCGGGGGGAATTACAGCTGTCCAATAGAATACACGAGAATACGTTAGGAGAATAGTCACGTGATTCGTTCCAGCAGGTTAGGATTCTTCGTTTCGCAGAACACGTGTCATATCAAACTAGTTCGCCCGTGGTTTCCGGAGTTACTTAGGTAAGTATCAATTCAAAATATTTAACCTTTGTTTGTAAACAATTAATAAATTGTATTAAATTTATATATCTGATTCTATTCGAATGTGTTGTAATAGTTAACAGATAAATATAGTTATTTCAAACACACAAGATTGGCGCAAATGATATCCCAAGATAACTGACGTTTGGTAATTATTGAGCATCTGTCTTAATCGTTAAAAGATTTACGGAGGATATTAAAATTTTAAATCAGATGCAATAGTATAAATTCGGTTTACATAATTATTATTAAACGAGTAAACAAATATATAGCGGTGACACCCGAGAGGTCATTATCCATCCCAAAATAAGAGAGAGGTGAGTCATCCCGAATGCCTGAATTCCCTTCGAGCATGTTATCTACTGGATACTACGTTCATTCTGGAATTTCCCTGGCCTCTTTTTATTTGATTTAATACAATAATCATAATTTGCATTACTGAAGTGTTTTCATATAAAATTTATTCATACTCATCGTGTTTTTCGGAAGTTACTACTTTCATTTTGGTGAAAGAACTTGTCAAAATGGTTCGGAAACACCCAATTTAATGAAGGGCGTGTTACCTTTTTTCCCCCCTCTCGAGTCTAAAACAGTAGCGGTTGAAGAGAAACCGGCATTTTGTGGAACTCCATAACTGTACTAAATTGTACAATTTATGAAAAAAATATAAAATAAATAAATTTAGATTTAATACAGTTCTATATTAGTGTGATATCAATATTGTTATTTGGTGTTATGCTGTAATTTATTAAATTTGTACCCTGGCTGTCGATAAGGGAGCTGAAATTTTTCCCCGCGCCCGAACAAAAATATAATGGTTCCTATCCCTATAAATTAATGTTACTTTTACTTATAGAAAATATAATTTTTAACACCTTTTATTAATAAAAAAACATTCTACGTATTTCATTTATCAAAAAAAGGGGACCCTCGGGTCCCATACAAGCTCTCGACGACCCTGTTTGAATCTCTTCTGTAAGGTTATTTTAAATAATTAAGGATAAAGAGGTTATTATTTTCGAAGATCTATAGAAAATTTAGTTTCGGGGAATGCCAAGAAATTACTCTTAAACAACAATAAAAAAAATCTATTGTGAATTATTATAATACAAATAATCTTGACCTTGTAATGTCTTGCAAAAGTTTTATAAATACAGTGTGCAATAAATTGTAGACAAGAAAAATTTTGAATCAATGCTTGACTTGATACAATAGGATAATATTTCTTAAATTTATTGTATTCCTGAGCAATTTTATTATTGTTAAATTTACCCTAGAATTATACATATTAAAATTTCCTTATATCATCATCTATCATTAAAAAAAAATCAACAAAAACTTAATGAAATTCTTAGAAAACTGAGAATTTTGTTTTAAATTTTCAATAGAAAACCGTACAAAAACACAGTAGTAAATGCTGTTTACCAGACACAGTGTAATTTAATGGCATTCTGTTTGTGAAGCTCTCCAGCTGTAAAAGGATGTACAAAATCAAGTAGCATTTTTCAGATAAGCACAAACTGTTAAGATAAAATGCGATAACGAAAATGTATTTTGTCTTTACAAATTATTACACATTTCCGTATATTCATTTAATAATTATTTTTCCCCAGAGAGAAGCTGCATCTTTTTTTCTGAGGAGGTACTGACCACATTGATTAGGAATTATCAAATGGATCTGATTTAAATTGACTCTCCTCAAATTAGCAGATTGTCCTGTTAAAACACTAACAAGCAATGTCTTTGAGAAGAAAAAATATCCAGAAATTGACAGATTCACCAAAATGGACAAAAATTAGAGGTGTATTTCAAAGTAGAGAAGATGAAAGCGAAAATTTGTACGATGAAACACAAAAAACCAGAAAGAATTTCGGTGAGGTCTGTAATATATCCAAACATTTACAAAATTCCGGCACCTCTTTAGCAGTTAAAGAAAATTCAATATCAGAATCTAGCGAAAAGGATTTAAAATGTTCGTTTAATGAAATGCTTCGAGAAGATTATAAGGTGACTTCTAAATTTGCAACGAAATCCAGCCTATCCTCTGAAAAACACAAGGAAAAACCTGCTGCCAAAACTTACTCCGTAAATTCTGCATTATACAATATGAAGATTTGTATACATCCAGAACTGAATGAAAAATGTACAGTCGTAAATAGAAAATATAATCAAGAGCAAAACATAATCATCAGGAAAAAACTTTTCGAAAATACTTCTAGAAATAACAGTTACAGGCAACACAAAAGATCTAAGCATTACTCACAACCAAGATTTTCATTTCAGGATAGAAAGAGGAATTTATACAAATTCTCATCGGTGAGAAATTTGGTTAGCAAATATGAACAGATGGAAAAAGAATCAAGAAAGAAATACTTGGATAATAACAAAGAACTATTTAAACAAGATCCTAATAGATTATCTATCTTAAGTTGCCAAAAATTATGTAAAAATAGAGACGACAGTGGAATTAGTGAAGGAGAAGAATCTTTGACTTCTCCTCTACACATCACTCGATTCATTAATTCTGAAAACGAAAGACAAAGCATTGAAAACATAATTTACAATAGGCTAGTTTACAGTAATCTGAACTTCAACAATAGAGAAATTAAGAAATCAAAATCTCCAAAGCCTCGCTTTGTGGTTGTGAAAAAGCCCATGCCTCTACCTAGGTCACCTATTAAACATTATGTTAATCTCTCTGAATGTTATACTGAACATATGTTAAGTAAAGAACAAGAAGCAATAAAGGAGGATGAAAACAGTAAGTTTCTATTTTGATGATATGAAACCGTGCTTTACAATTTGTTTATGCTTCTAACACAATAAAGTGTTATAAATTAAGACACTTGGCGGGTTTTTTCATCTTTATTTAGTTTAGTTTTTCATCTTTATTTAGTTCCTTATATCAACTAAATAAAGATGAAAAAACCCGCCAAGTGTCTTAATTTATAACACTTTATTGTGTTAGAAGCATAAAGTAAGTTTCTACTTCATTTAATTCAATAATTGTATTTCAAAATTTATATAAGTTGATTTAAAATTACAGTTAAAGTGACACAGAGTGAAGAAGAATGGGCAGATATCAGCGAAGATGAAAAAGATGGAAATGCAGAAAATAAGTAAGTTAAAGATATAAATTATTCAAATTCTATACATGTAAGACCACTGCATAAACATTATTTTCCTTATAAATTAACTCATAATTGGTACAAAAGTTCTTAATATTAAACGTATAAAAGATGCAAATTAATGAAGTACAGTATGTACTTCATTAATTTGCATCTTAATTTGCATTCTGAATTCAATTTAAATTAATCTAATTTATGAAATTAGATTAATTTAATTGAATTCAATTAAATTATATCAGATAAAACATTACTATATAAACAAGAAACCAACTTAATACCATAAAAAATCATATTTGAAAGTTTAAAATAGATTTTTAATAATTAAAATAAGTTGGATGAAAGGTAAATATTCATCTTTCATCATTTCTATTCCTCTCTATTGCAATATCAAAATAGAAATATGCAAAATTGAAATAGAATTGCAGTATCTTATAACATTTACCTTACAATTTCATAAAATATTATAATACTGTATTATGCAATAATTTCATTTGCATTTTGATAATGTGCTCATTTTTACAACCATTATTATATTATATTCACGAAAATATGTAAAGCTTGATACCACATGAAATACCAGGACTAAACTGCTGTTTTTTAGGTAACCAAATAGTATTTAACTCGTTTCCTTTCATTTTGAGATCTTATCTCTAGAGACACACCCTATCTAATTGTGTAATGATGTTGAATTACTACTGTTTATCCAAATTGTTTTAATATTTTATTTATAAACTAGCAGACCCCGCCACGCGTTGTGGCTCAAAATGTATCTATTATAAATGTATAACACTTCCCCCGTGGGGGAGAAATTTTTCGAAAACTTTCTTCTCAGTGTACATTCTCTTGACGTACCCTATTAAAACGCAATAAACTGCATCTAAAATAGTATAAATAGAAGCAGAGTTCTTTACGGTAAGCCTTACTCCTAACCATCTCCCTTCAGTGGGGGGAATTTCGACACGTATATTATATAAAAACACGTACTTATTCGAATGCAGCGTTGTGACAAAATTTTAAAGGAATCGGTAGGAACAAACGAACATTACATTTTTATTTATATAGATAGAAGATGATCTGCTTTAGTTCATTTTCACAGAAAAGCAAACTTAGGGCGTCGTACTCGTAGTGCCATCTGTTGGACATAAAAGCCTTAACCTAGATCATATCGTTTAATTTATATGAATATTTAACGAAATAATATACAGCCTATGTCCACCCCGAAGTTCCATTCTAAATATTGGTGAAAGAATTTTTGAAATCGGATGAGTAGTTTCGGAGATTACCCGCTACATCCAAACTTACTTACTTACAAACATTACCTCTTTATAATTAGTATAGAATCTATACTAATTATATCTATGTATTTCTCGTTATTTAAATGTTCAGTCTTTATCTATAGTATACAATACAAATAGTAATATAATTTATAAGGTATTGAAATTTATATTATTCAAACATGTCATCAAACTCCACATCTGTCGTAAAAGTTAAATTTTTTGTCGAATTTTTAATTTCCTTCACTTATAATAATAATAATAAAACTCATTATTAAATATTTTACGTCAAATGTAGCTATAGAATAAGTAATAAATCTGGGAAAAGATGCTATCAAGAATCAGGAAATCTTTACGATTGCTGTTCACCAAGAAGAATTCAAAGGATATGGAAGAATTACAGGTTAAAAGATGATAATGGAACAGATTCTAGTTGGGAAACAGTAAGTTAATTCTTAATGTTTTCATGTTTAAATTATCATCGATTTTTAATAATAAAACTTATTATTAGTGTGGAGATGATAATAGCAGCACCACCAGTTCAGAACACCATTATGAAGATCTAAACGATTTTAGTATGGACGAACCATTTCAATGTAAAAATGAGCCGAAGAGTCCTAATGATTTTATTGAAGAATCTTTCCATTTTCTTGGTAATCACTCGGCTGATGAGAGTGATAATGCAGATTCTCTTTCTCCGTGTAGTCCAATTCAAATCGAGAAAAAGAACGAAGATAATTCTCCTGTAAGTTCTCGCCATTCTATAACTGAATCTGCTTTGATCTATCAAGACTTTAATGCTTTGAGGAGTAGTTATAAGAAAACACTGAAGAGTATCAAAAAAGCCAATATTCTGGAAGTTAACATGTTGAAGAAGCAAACAATTAAAAATAAAGAGAAGAATACAAATTTCTATGTTTCTCAATGTGAGAAACCTAAAAGTTACGAATGTATTTTAGAGCAATTAGATGAACAAAAATGTAAAAAGAAAAAGAAGAAGAATTATTTTACGCTGCCATATCAAAAAAATAAGAAAAATTCTGAGGCAATTTCCAAAGATGATGGCAATATTACTCACCAAAGAAGAGCCAGTGACTGTGGTCCTCTAACTGAACAATTTTCCAAATTTGTCTCAGGTTAGCAATTAAAATTTTAAATGATAATTATAATTATCAATGAATAAATTTATATATATATTACAGAGATACAATTAGATAAGAAGAGTTCTGAACTACATGCCTCAACTATTAATTTGCCAGAAAGAACAAGGTAAAATTGGGGGAAAAAAATCTTTTTTTAGCCAATACTTACTAAGTTAAATAAGCTTTATTTTGATTTTTAGGGCATCTATTGTATCATGTAATTCCTGTGGAGATGGTTATATCTGCAGAAATCATTTAGAAATGCTGCAGAGTCCACTATCTTCATCAGAAGAATCTGTAAGGCTGTTTGAAAGATCAAAAACATTTAATTTTCGGAACAGATCTAGCTCTGTTGAAAGTGAACATAATTATTTACAAATTAACATTTCAGAGGTATGTTTTCTTTAAAAAAAAATTATGAATTTATAATTCAAACTATAGTCTTTAAATTTTCCTCAGAATAAAAAATCAAGTTATGGAGAAACATCAGGTAGTAGTCAAGAAGATATATATTGCAGTACTTATGATTACAATCTAAAAAAATCCAATCCATATTGTGAGTTTTATAATTCTGAAGGATTGCATTCCTTGAAGCCTCAATTAAATGTAGCAGAATTAGCTTATATAGTGGAATCTGGAAATAAAAAACTGTGGAGTGATCTACCAGAGGTATATTTTTATTCTTTGTAATATTAATTTATGATTAACCATTTAGATTGCTGATATTTTATAAATCATTAAGGTTCAAGCTAGTGGAATACTAGAAAAGATGTCTGCTCAACAGCTTAAATTACAAGAAGCATTACTCAGTGTAGCACTATCAGAAGCAACTTATTTAAGACTATTAGAAACTGGTCAAGAACACTTTGTTCGATCAACTAATTCTGATGATAATGGTTTATGTAAGATTTTATCATGGCACGAATGGAATGTTTTGTTTTCTGATATTTCTCCAGTTATCAATGTCAGCAAAAAGTAAGCATATTTAATAAATAATATAATTAATCTAACTATAATTTATATACTTATTTTTATGTATTTAGATTGGTTGCAGATCTAGAATCAAGATGGGAAGAAAGTTTTTTATCTTTTGATATCATGGATATTTTATATGAACACATAACTAACTACTTTGATGCTTATATCAAGTACTGTTCTAATAAATTATACAGAGATCGAATGCTCAAAGTATTAATGTAAATATTAATTCTAAAATTTTATTTGTTTTGTTTTAAAGCATTAATGATTACTAAGGAACTATATTTTTAAACAGAAATACTAAGCCAAAGTTTCTAGAAGTTACAAAAAATTTAGAATGCAGTTTCCCATATCAGTACTTTACACTCCAAGAATTTCTCACTCTTCCAGAACAGCATATTTCTAATTTACTTAACTTGATTGAAGAAGTGTTCCATTGGTTACCACAGAATTCCACAAAATATAATCTATACAAGCTGACAATAACTGCTCTTAGAAAGGTAAGAGAGAAACCTACAATATATATATTTATATTTAATTAAATATAAATGTTAAACACTTTGAATGAAATTTCAGATCATTTCTGAATGCATTGAAGGAGCACAGAAAATGGAAAGAATGGAAGAAATGTTGCTCTTAGCACATCAGTTAGATTTTAAAGAGTGCAAAGTACAATTACTTACTTATATTTAAGAATTTATCAATAATAATATTTTTATTCAAATTTGTTTTTATAATTTAGGCTATTCCACTTATATCAGCATCAAGATGGTTATTGAAAAGAGGAGAAATGATGCAATTTTCTTGTGATTCTCCAGTTAAAAAGACATTTGGGAAAAGTACCCGTTGGAATAAATTCCCCCTGCATGTTTTTCTTTTTAATGATCTTTTAGTGTTGACAAAACGAAGAAAGTATGTTTATTATAACTCTAATTATTGTTATTAATTTTTGTAATTGATGTTAAAACTCCATTTATGTTTCCTTAGTGAAGATAATTATCTTGTATTGGATTACTGCCCAAAAGATATGGTTCAAGTGAAAAGTGGCAGTCAGTCAACAATTAGGTTACCAACAGGATGCAAGAATCCTATTCAACTCATTCTCTTAAGTAATCAAGAAAATAAAACAGTTGAAATGATTTTAAGTTGTTGTTCTGAGTGAGTATCTATTCATTTTTTAGAATTATAAAAATTAATTACATATGACATATATAAATTCTACATATGCAGAAGTGAAAAATTAAGATGGAAGGAAATTTTAACATTTTCTGAGAAGCCAAAAGAACAAGAGCAAATACAAAAACGAGGTAAAATCTATTATGAAATAGTAAAAAATAATACTGATTTAAACATACAAATCAAACCCTACTTCTAATAGCCAAACATATCAAATCGATACACCTTCACACTCCAAGAATTTCTCACTCTGTTGGAATAGCCTATTTTTAATTTACTTAACTTGATTGAAGAAGTTTCCTAGTTTTTAGATCTATATTCATCTATTAATTGGGCTTTGGTTTATATATTAATGTTGATCATATATCTGTTTGAGTTAATTATCTCAGCATTGGCTGAGAACAATAGACATAATGTTCTCAATGTTGCAGCAAATAATGTATATTATGATCTGGAAGTGAAGATCACAGTCTGGATAAGTACAAATGATAATACATCTGTAAGGTAAACAGAAGTTGTAAATTCAAGTTTAATTTCAGACAGATAAATATGATCTTTTTCCAGACTTCTAATAATAATTAATTTTAAATTTAAAGTTGTCATTTTTTGCTAATACTATATTAACTACCTACCACAAATAAAATACTAAAATATTTCTGAAGTCAATGATAATTATTTTTAACATTCCACCATTAAATCCATGTTAAATTAAAATACAAAAATTTACTCCTGCAAATCAATATATTCTAACAGCACATGTCATAATTTTAACATTAATGCTAAAATTTCAAAATGATTATGGATGCTGGAATGTTAATTCTAAATGTTTTTAATATATATGTTACTGTGAATGACCGAAATGGGGGGAATGTCAACATTCACACAGTTGTCTGTGGTGCATGTCAACATTCACACAGTTGTCTGTGTCGACATTCACAAATATTGGTCTTTCACAGTAACATATACACTTCTACAAATATTTAAGCATTATTTTAATTAGACTTTATTGACTCCAGTTGTGTTTAACCGTGTATTTTTTATGCCAAATTCCATTATTTTAATTTCAAGCAAGAATTAAACTAATTTTAAAGACTGGCTTTTATATATATATATATATACACACACATTGATTTTAAGTTTACCTTTCATAGATTTTCAAGTACAATGTATACGATCTTATACTGCTCAACAATGTGATGAATTATGTTTAAACGAGGGTGAAATTATCAATGTCATCAGAAAAATGAATGACGGTAAGATGAATATGATGGATAAGTATTGGATATAGAGTAGAATATATTTATTGTAATCATGGATATTATTATCAAAATTATAATAAGCAATGTATTTTGGGATGTATACAAAACTTAGGTTAAAATTAATTAGTAAGAGCTTAGCTTAAAATGCTTATTTACTTAATGATTGTGAATTTGATTGACATCATCAATCAGTGGTTTAAACATCAAACCTTCACTGTTTTAATTGTCACTTATAGAACAATAGTTTTACTACACTGGCATGCAAAACTTAAGCAACAATGTAATTTTTAAGCGGACAGCCACAAAATTATAGAAAAGGGCTTGTTTCGATTAGTACAATGACCATCTAATTCAATAGAATAGAAATGATTCATATGCAAATATCAGGCAGGAAGAAAACATCACAGGTGATATGAGGGCATGCAAAATGCACAAAATTGTAGTCAGCGCATGCAGTGAGAGACTACAATAAAAAGGATGAAAGGCACTATAAAATACATTTTCTGCAAGTCCAAGTGAGTTTGTATGTGCAATATGGCTAGAAGAAACCATCTAGATGACTTTACACATGGTAGAATGATCGGCAAGCTTGGGAGAGGCATAGTGTGATGAGTGTGGCCCAAGAGTTTTGAATCAACAAAAGTTTGTTTCATGAGTTTGGAAAGCCTTCCAAACCACAGATACAACTGTAAGAAAAGTTGGTGGTGACTGTCCAAGAAAAATAATGTCAATGGATGACCAATATATTGTCCTGCAGGCAAAGTGAGATGGATACCAGTCAATGGGCAACATTACTCAGCAGCTGCATATGACAATGGGACCAACAAGTGTTGCAATTTACTAGGCCAGATGCTTCATAAAGGTGGTCTATTTGCCCACCGTCCTGAACACTGCCTCCCATTGACAGCACTGTTTAGACTGATGAGAGGAACACACAGACTGAACATCTCATCAGTGGAGTCGTGTCCTCTTTACAAATGAGGTTGTTTCAGTATCAATAGCAATTCTCAATGCCAGCTGATATGTAGTGAGCAGTTTATCCTGGTTTCATGATGGAAAAAGACCATTATGGTGGTCTTGGAATGCTCATTTGGAGAGGCATTATGTTCAGCCTCTCCAAATGACTGAGCTTCAAATTTTTGACAGAGGTACTGTTACTGGAGATTGCTATTGACAGCAAGTGATCCTCTCCCACATGCATCTGTTCCAAGATGCCATTGGGCAGACTTCATTTTTATGGAGGATAATGCCAGACCACATCAGACTTGTGCTGTTGAGGAGCTTTTAGAAAGTGAAGATATCACTAGAATGAATTGGTCAACATACTCTCCTGATTTAAATCCATAGAACATGTGTGAGATGCTTTGGAGAGATGCCTTTCGGCATGATTATATCCGTCGGAGAACACCCAACAACTGAAACAGATGCACATCATTGAGGAATGGGCACTTTTACCTCATCAACTGTTCGATAATCTGGTGTTGAGTTTGGAAAGACGATGCCACACAACCACTGCAGTTAAGGGAGGTCATATCCCTTACTAAGGGTCATCTATTTGTTGCTCTCCCTCTTGGGCAGACAATCACATTTGTTCCAATGCTACTCTTTTAATAAAGCCTCTTTTTTTGTTTGATTCCATACTGTATGAATTCTATTCATTTTTGCACTAGTATGTTTTTTTCATCCTTTAAGTACAAAATACTGTCTCTATATTCTGAATTTCATGTCTCCCAGGTGATTTCGTGCACAGATATGGCAAAAAGAAAAAACAATTGTTGCTTAAATTTTGCACAAAGATGGTATTAAAAAAACCGTTGAAATTACTATTAATTAATAATAGTAATTATATTAAATAAATCTTAAAACTACATTTTTTAATTGTTTCAACCAGTCCTAAGAATCAATAAAACTATAATTCCACCTATTGTAGATTTATTTACCCCACTTATCAATTATTATAAGCAGTAAAAGGCAAAGGCTAATGTGATTATAATAAGCATATCCTACTGAATACAAATTTATTCAACATCTGTATATGCAAAATATTAATTATTTTTTATAGGTTGGTGTAAAGGCGAACGTGTTCGAGATAATGTCATTGGATGGTTTCCCACTGCCAATACTACAAAATTAGACATGAAATCAAATCACCTATTGGTGAGAAATAAAACATCACTGCCATTTTTATCTAGTTTTAAGACTCCTATCTCACCAAAATAATTTCATATAATGTAAAATAGGAATTTGTATAAAATCATCATCATTATTTGTACATTATCTCAATATTAAATTATAACTAAATTGTAAAATAAAAAATAATAAAATAGATATGAGTATTCAATGTAGTTGAAACAATAAAACTTGCAAAATAAAAAATATTACTCAATTAAGAATTATGAAGCAGGAAAAAAAAATTTTAATTGCACGAGAATAATCTTTACAAAAGAATTATGATCAGTTAAATTTTGAATATAAAATATAATTTTTGTAATAATTAAAATTATTTTTCTATAAAGAATTGACTGTTTTTACTATTTAATTTAGTAAAACTCTCTTAATGTTGACAAAATATATAACATCAACTTACTGCATTTCTACATTAGACAAACTATGCAATGATCAAAATGCCATCTACAGATCAATTTTTTAAATTAATACACTAATCACAAGTTAAAATTTTGAATAATCTCAATACAGTGCAAACATTACTTTAAACTCAAAGTGATTTAAACATTCAATATTTTATTCTCAACTGTATAGAAACTGTCTTCCAAGGATATATTAAAAATATTAAATGTCACTTAGGATATTTCAACTAGAAAATTTTTCTATATAATACTGTAACAGATAATTTTAACATTTTAGGTTTAATGATGTATTTTATCATTAACAAATGTAAACTGACATTCTGAAAAATCCAAATACAACTTATTTTTCTAGCTGAATTCTAAATTGGTTTAATTGCATTTGGTCAATAAACCAAGTGTATTAAAATGTGTGCTAGACTATAATATGTTATTTCATTGAAAATTATTTTTTTTCTAACTATAAAAAACTATGACAATATTTAGAATAATGTACATCTTGAAATGTCTATGAAGAACAAACTTATATTGGGACCGATGAAAATGAAGGCTTCATATTAAAAATTCAGTCACTGTCATTAGTTCATCAGTAATTGAGAGAACATATCAATTCTTTATTCTTAATCCTTTCTGATAGTTTTGTAGATATACAAAGATGGATTCTGCACACACCAGAGATAAATAATGGCAAAATATTGTCCTCCTCCTGCTTCTTCTTTCCTTGACCATACTGCACCCTTTATTGTTCAATACTGAAACCAAAACACATGCCCAAATCACATACTGTCTGGAATAATGATTGTACACAAGAGTATAAAAATAGATTAGAGAATTAATTTAAAAAAACCCAGATGAAAATTATTTGACCGTACCAACGGATTTTGAAACATATTAATTAAAATATACAATTTAATTTTTGAAATGTGGAATTTATCAAATTAACTGCAAAAAATTAATATGTTTACACAAGAAATGATATTACTTGTAAGGATATACTTTCATATACATATAGAACAAAATAGTACATTCTGTAGTTAAGGCATGCCACATTTATAGGCTCTACAGAGTCCTTGTATGCCATCTCTCAATGCACATTATATACAGGCAGCCAGTGATAGCAAGAAGGCATTCCTCACTTGGTCTGGATGACTTTTCCTGTGTCTTCCTTTCCTCGATAAATAGTTTTTCCTCTTGACCATGGTAGGTACTTATACTTTATCATATGCTAGAGAAATAAAAATTTTTAAAAATTAAATACAGGCATAGAAAATTTGGGATTGTATTCTTATAAATTTTACTTAACTATTATTAATAAATTATTGTAACCTTAGTCAAATCTTTGCCTCATATAATCATCAACAAAAAGAGCATATTAAACTAGATTATGTCAAAGTATTACTGACTACCCATTCCCAAGAAAATAAAGATTTAAAATTGTTGATATTCCCCAATTAATTTAAAAAACAAATTTTATATTGCTTTACAAAAACTACTGTAATGAGCATAAAGAAATTACAGATACTAATAATAATTGAATAATTTTATACTATAGTAATAATACAAAAAAATTCTATTATGATTTTAAGTGGATGACTTATGGGTTATCTGTACTTTAAGTTAATTTGAAATCGGGTGCAGGTAATTACATAATGCTGCAGATTATTTTAGTTTTAACTTGCAATTACAAAGCTCATCCAACATTTTTTCCTTTGTTTAATTTATCAAGTCAGTCTTTAAAAACATGAAAAAATTATTTGCACATTACAGAATCTTTATCTGATAACTTTTCTTAAACAAACAAAAGCACATGTCCCACTTAGTTCTCTCCCATTTATTTTTTGTATGTAAACCTATGCATAACTGACATTACACTGATATCAAAAAAATAAGCATAATTGTTAAATTCAAAGTTACTGAAAAATTGACATAACTAGTAGCAGAAAAAGTGTGTGTATGGTTACTTTACTAAACTATCATTGTTGTTTTTGTTTTGGTCAACAAGGATATTGGTGTTATTGCTTTTGTGGGATTGATAACAGTGTACACTGATCACGAGGCAGGTTTATTAAGCTGGAAGCAGGCCAGTTGCAGATGAGATATCAAAAAGTACTGAATATGCCAGAAAGTGTAATATCCATGTAAATCTTTTCGGAGATGCCACAAGGAGTCTCAACGTTTATTTTATGGAACGGCTAGCAAAGTCTCCAGATCTGAATTCATTTAATTGCATGTGAAATGATCTAGGTTGGCAAGTTGTATCCTGTTAGTTCCACATAAATTTCTTCAGATCAGGAGCTTGATTCTGCCTCCTTTTAAGAATGGACCATATTGTCTTGTGAACAGAATGCCTGACCAGTGTGGTGTGTGTGTGTGTGTGTGTTTGAAAAAATGAAAAAGACAATCACATGATATATTAGCCATTTTATGGTATATTACTATTGCTTTGATACTTTCTATTGTTTTCTTGTTTTGCACAAAGTTAACTTTCACAGTTCAATTATTTTACTTAAAAGATGTAAGATTTTACATGTGTATCATGTTTCATATCCTTCTAATCAATAGCTTGAGATATAGGCAGACATAATCGTTACACTTATTTTCTGGACCCATTAATCATCTCTACATAAAAGTTGACAAGTTTTCAGTAATAACATTCAGAGCAATATTTAGAAGCTTCTATTTAAGAGTCTACTGTTGATTTTGTCCTTTAGTTCTTAAAAGCAAACAGAAGGTGAGCAACAAACACTTGAACCTGTATTATTAGATATTGTAGACATTACAAGCTTTTAATGTTTTTGAACATTTATTATTATTTTAGTGGATTCTGTCCTATTTGATTGATACCAAGAAATACCTACTAAAAAAGTTCTGTCATTGATACAACTATCAGCAATTAAAAAATTTTCTGATTGTATGTGTTTAATATGGCAGTTTTCTGTAACACGACGAGTATACTGTTTGTGCAATCTGTGCTAAAGATTACAGGCTCACTAAGTCACCTTTAATCTTCTCTTGGGTGCTTAATTTCATGTGGTTCTGAATAGTAATGAAATTTCTTGGTGTATGATTAACTAATCTTACACCTTTTTGGATCTTAATCTTAATCTTTTTGGATGCTAAATACAAAAATACATTGAAAATGTGAGATTGGTTTTGTTTAAAAGTTGCAGAGAGAACAGGAAAGAATACCGAGTTTGATGACATTTTCTCTTATTAGAAAGAAAATCATATGCCTGCTTCAAAAACAATGTATTTTCTGTTTGTCTCTTGTACAGTTGACCCCCTATAACACTATTGATAATTCTGTTTTATATGAATTCCATGTTGTAATAGTCACTTAGATTTTACAATACATGTGCCTGGCTGTGAATGGCTCACGTATTTGTAAAATCTAAGTGACTCGTACAACATGGAATTCATATAAAATGAAATAATCAACAGTGTTATAGGGGGGGTCAACTGTATTCCACTTCTGAAGCATCTCTTCTAATCATCTAGTACTGCTAGATGATTAGAAGAGATCTAATCATCTAGCAGTGATCATCTAGTACTGCTAGATGATTAGAAGAGATAATCTGCCAACATTGCAGGGCATCATTTACCTTTGTAAATCATGCTTCTCCATGACTGTGATATCCTTATGAAAATACTAATGTTTGTCACTGAATGCACTGCAATTAATGTGGAAGACATCTAAATGGGAAGAGGATATGCAATTTCAGGGATATTCTGCAACTGATTTTCTTGTATGCCATTAGAAGTTCATCTACAAGCTTATGGAAATTTTCAGCTTTGATATTTCCTAACAATTTTGAAAGCCTTACATGCTTCATTTTCACTGTCCATCAACCAACTCTCAAAATTCCTCATCCCTTTGAAGTTGTCTGATCTGGGGACCAATAAATATGATTTTCTCAGTGGCAATCCTCAGAAATTGCTGACACAAAGAGGTAAATGAGTCACCATTCATATTGAAAATCTTTATAAACTGTTTCATGAGTCCGAGCTTAATGTATGGATGGAACAATGACTATCCAGAGTAACAAGCAGCTGATATACCAGGTTAGATGAGTAAGTGATGATTGACAAGGCCAGTTTTCTTCTTGTAATGATTTAATCTGTCATGATTATCACATTCACAGAGACAGCAAACAGAATTTTGAGTATTTTGAGATTTGAATTCTGAAGTAGTCCCATTAAAATAGCGGTAAAACTTTAAAGATTCTCGTACTGTGTAAGTCTAAGGTTTACATGACTGTATAGGTTTCTTTAGTTTGAGTTGCATATGCCAACACACTACTTTTATGCAAAAGCACTGCCTTCAAACTGACCTTTAAAAAATCTGTAAAGAAACACCATCAGTTGTGATTGCACATGATACCCAAAGATGCCATAATACCAATGACATTGTTACAGAAAGTGAGATTGCCTTCTTCAAATAAAATTACACAAAGCATTGTTGCCGACAGCAAAAGTGACTTTCACATTTTCTGTAAGGTGATTCCATTGTTTCAACCTGAAAGCCAATAGCTCTGCTTTATTCTTGGGCAGTTACAGATCCTGATAATATCATACAATTCTTCCTGTGTTATCTGGTTCTGATTCTCAGAAATATCTGACACAAATTCATGATCAACAGACGATGGCCCTGCCAATTTGTTCATGTCTGGTTCATCTACCTCACTCTATTGTGCATTGAGGAAGTTCTGGAATGGGCACTTTCTAGCTATGTTGTACAAGCTGCATTGCAGAAGCAATATTAGGATTATGAATTGTTGTCATCTTCTTATTCATGCAGAAATAGCAATCTGTAATATGATTAACTGGTTCCCTCCATACCACTGGGACTGGAAATGGCATGGCATGTCCTCTCCATGCAGCCACAAACAGATTTATTGAACAGGTATTGCAACAAAAATGTGGAGCCAATGATCTGTCTTAATCTCCAACTTTACAATCAAAGTACAAGAAGTAGACCAAAGTATGCAATAGTCAAAGCTTATCTAGACTGGGTTCAAAAGTCAATTATTTGCATTTTTGCATTAATTCCACTTTTGCTCTAAATTGGGTCTAAAGATAACCTTGTCTCTGCAATCTCAAGATGTCCGTGTTTGTTTTTTCTTTTTAGTTTTTTCAATCTGTTTAAGAAAACTTCTTGCATGAGTTTGTATAAATTTATACAAAAATTACTTCATTTTATGTGTTTTATACTCCTTGTATAAAAGTTTATATTTGAAAATCTTATGATTTCTTTAAATTAAAGTACAAATGTACTCAAAGCTTAACACATATGAAACACTTCAAAAATAAAATACAATAACACACTATGAAAATTTTTATAAATTCATTGGTATTATACTTATATTTTTAGGAATTTAAAAATAATCATGCCAAATATGATTTAACTATGTTTAGTTAAAATCATATTTCAAAAGAAAAATATTCAAATCATCTCAATTCTTTAGAAAAAAGACATACCTTGATTTGACGTTTCATTGTAAGACAGAAGAGTGTGACAAAGTAAAGCAACAAAATGGGCCAGAAAACTGGTATATTAAAGGCTTCAAAGAAAGTACAAAACATTGCAATGAGGGTGGCTTTTGTTGCTGAATACCTACATAAAAATAAAAACTTTGCAATTAAATTACACAGCTATATTTTATATACAAAATTAAATGAAGAACCACTTAGCTTGCTAACCAAAATTTGAATTCTGGTAACCGCCTAATAAAAGGACGAAATTCTTCATTGGCTTTAGTGGGAAGTTCTGGACCATCATCTAAATTTTTAAATTAATGAATTTTTTGTTTATACATTTATAATGATATATAATTATATGCATAAATATTATATTTATGCATATAAATATAATATAATGTTTAAATACAAATGTAAAATTCACAAACATTTCTAGGCAGCACAGATGAAATTAAACTCTTCATTAAAGCAAATAGCCCAGATAGGATAAAATAGAGTCATTGACAAAAGTTATACATCATGATGATATTGGAATCATATGAAACTACTCATATTAATATGAATATAATGACAATGGTAATAAGTGATTACAATATCATAGCAATGAGACAATTTCCAGTATAATAGCAGCCCAATTAAAAAAAACCTACAATACCTTGTGGGACAACCTCTTGCTGGATACATATGGATAATGGCTAACTGTAAATTTGTAACTTTCAGAAAACAGGATTTGAAAATTGGACCAATCAAAATTAGTATATTTTTAGTGAATGACTGACCACTGAAAATTTTCTTTGTAATCTTTTTTACATAGATTTTTCAGGAACCTATCTATCACGTAAAAACAAATTAGGTGTATTAAATTTAAAAAATTAAAAATATGGCAAACAAAATATTTTTTAGATCATCAAAGGAAATGAGAATCTATAATCAACTGATCATTACAGTCAATTAGATAAAACCACAATTGCATCACCAATTACGAGCTGAATATAATATAATTCTTGCATATCAATAAAAATAACTATTAAGAAATCTGTTATAGCTTGTCTAAAACTATAGAAAAAAATTCAGTATATAAAAATTTCTAATTTTTAAAACAAATATTTTTCATTTCACTAATGTGCTGTCCATTATTTTAGTAAATCATACTGAAAATTTGTTTAATAATTTAACATATTTTAGTCTTACCTGGATCATCAGACATAGCAGGGTCTAATTTTGGTGTTAAGAAAGCAATGAAAAGATTCAGATGATAAATTCCTAAAGCATAGGTAATGATGTACCACCCCTGTGAAATACAGAAAAGTGTTTTCATTTGAATATGTTAAATTATAATCAAATAATAATACTGTAATATTTTTATCCCCAGATGTGTTAAACTAAAAATTGTAAAGACAGACTGAAAAAAAATATTAGTGAATACCTTCAAAAAGACAAATTTATCATTTGATTGATTAACTATTGTTTGATCTTATAATCAAACATAAAATTGTTATGATTGATTATAAGAAATTTATGTTTGATATTGTTAAATACTGTGTGAAGGAAGTGTGTAAATAGTGTATTGTGAAAAAATATGTTCTTTGAGTTTTTCCCCTCCCAGCTTTTATGGACAGATTTCCCAACTTTAATTAAAGGGTAATTATTTATTAAACTAATTTGTAATTTTATTTTAACTATAACATTTTGTTTTTAACTTGTGTTGTCTACTCTGGTATATGTTTTTCGTTCTATGTCTCCCATATAAAAAAAAAACATAGTACATAAAACATACTATATATGAGATGATGATAAACAAACAAATTTACAAAAGTTCTAATTTATTTTCCAAACTAAATTTTGAGATTCGTATTCTAAACGTTATCAAAGCAGCAACTTGAAAGTACTTTACACATTGAAAAACAATTTTTGAAATTTGTTTTAAAAATATTTGGAAACATTAAAAGTAATAACAATTAAATTAAACTAAAATATATGAAACAGAAATTTAATTTTCAAATACTTTTCAATTCAATAATTACCTGAATGTACAATACCCTGACCATATATAGCATTAAAAGAAGAAAAGTAACTATCCATCGAATGGTAGTATAAGGAGTCCAACTATCCAGTAATTTCTGATATAACTAAAGAAGAAAAAAATTAACAATTATTAGTTTATTTTATACTAAGATATAAAATAAAGACATAATTAGTTATACTAGATTACAGTTAACAATCTCAAAAGATGTTAATTGCAATCTATTGGGTTGTTCGGAAAGTAATTTCATTTCTTTTACCACCAGAGGGATTAGCTGTATTTTTACCCATCAATTTCATTCTAAATCATATTGTCATTATACATTTTGACAGCTGACATTTCAAGGCTTATTTGTAAAAAATTTTGTTTGATTCTTTGAAATTGTTTTTTTTGGTATCCCATCAAATATGGAAAATCAAAAGCAGCATTTTAGAATAATAAAGACATATTTTGCTTTAAGAATAAAAATGCTGTTCAAGAAAGAAATTGTGACATGTATGGAGGACGTGTGTTGACAGAACAACAATGCCAAAACTGGTTTGCAAAACTTTGTTCCAGCAATTTCAATATTGAAGATGCATCACATTCTGGAAGGCCAGTTGAAGCTAATAAGACAAAATAAACGTATTGATTGAAGTAAACTGCCAAATAACAACATGATAAATCACTAAGAGATTAAATTTGTCAAATTCAACTGTTTATGATTTATCATGTTTCAAAGCTTGATATATGGGTTCCATATGTTATTAAAGAAAGAGATTTACTTAGTCACTTTGACATATATGATTTGCTTCTCAAACATTAAGAAAATGATCCATTTTTGAAATAAATCATAACTGGCAACAAAAAATGGATTGTTTATAACAATGTCAAATGCAAGCAATCATGAAGTAGAAAAGATGAGCCAGCTCAAAGCACTTCAAAAGCCAATATTCATATAAAAAACTGATCCTCTGTTTTAAGGAAATTTTTTTTTGAGCTTCTACCAGACAATTCCACAATTGATTCAGAAGTGTAGTGTACTGATGTCAACTGGACAAATTGAGTGATACCATCAAACAGAAAAGGCCAGAATTGAACAACAGAAAAGGTGTAATGTTCACCATGATAATGTCACAAGTTTGATAACTTGTCAGAAGCTATTACAGCTTGGATGGGATGTGCTATCACACCCACCATATTCGCCAGATCTGGCACCCTCAAATTATTACTTGTTCTGGTCTTTATAAAATTTTTTAAATTGAAAACATTTACTTCAAATGAGGACGTCAAAAATCACATGGATCAGTTTTTTGTAAGCAAAGATCAGTACTGTTATAAGTGTGGAATCATGCTACCACCAGAAAGATGGCAAAAGATATTGGACCAAAATGGTCAATACATAATTCAATAAAATATTTATATGTTATAAGAAAATTGTTTTTTCCCTCCCTTCCATGAAAAAAAAAATTACTTTCCAAACAACCTAATAGTAATCTGCAGACAAAATATTTGATATAATTTATTCAAATATATTAAATATAGCTTATAAGCTATTTCATTTAATACAGTAACTGTGTATTTTTGTAATGTTGATATAATTAATAAAATTTAAACTTTTGAGTATGTATAAAAATTTTGTTTGTGTTTCAATTTATGTACTATAATTGTTTGAATCTTTTTAAATATTCCTAAATTGTAAACACAAATAATAATAAACAGATTCTTTTTTTTGTATATAAAATAATCTGTTTATTATTATTTTTAGTATCTATACTTGCAATAAGTTACTATTATGCATTAACAATATAAATTGCAAGACATTAATTGTTTAGATCTTCATTATTTGTTAATTCATTAAAATAATTACTACTACTTGTACTAAAATTAATCCAAACTTAATAAGGTTATTTTAATGGTGTAAACATTTTTTCATTTGCATTTCTTTTAGCACATTTAGTTATTTTAAGAAATTTTATTTATTGAAACATATTGGACATTGTCCATTTATAACATTTCCAAAATATAATTATATAATAACAACTATAAGAAAGTTACAATTGCTCTAGTATTTAAATAAACTTTTTAAATCAAAATGACTAATTTTTACACATTTATATATTTTTTGCAGCTAAATAACTGAAAAAGCAAAGCTTCTATTGCACTTCAAACTAATTCTAAAGCCACACAGAAACCGGACACAGTTTTTCACCTATTTCCATCTGAAAAATAGAGAATTGTTAGAAAAATTGAAACATTTACAAACTGATGTGAAAGCATCCTTAGTGTGTAACTTTTTGTCAATGAATGCACATTTATATATTTTTAAAAATGGTCTAATGTTATTCTTTACAAATTTTTTGAAAGTATTAAATGAATTTACTTGTTTAGTTTCTTGTCTATCTACAGTATTTCCTAGCAGTTCTCTTTAGGTTCTAAAAATATATATACAATATATTGACAAAATTGATGCATCAAGAAGGCATTGGACTTGAAAATATCCTTCGAAGTACACCTTAGTAGTCCATGATCCTACAGTTTTCAGCCAATTATATACTGATGAAAATGAAAAGTGGTATACCATAAAACATTGGTTGATTTTTGTGAAATTTAGAAACTTAATACTGATACTGAATAGATCAACTAGCAAAAATGCAGTGTTCATAACTAAAGACAACACTCACTAACACCAAAGTAGAAAATGTTATTGCAAACTAATTTTCATCTGTATATAACAGTCTTCAGGTTTAATTCCACAGAATAGAAAAGTAAAGTTAAATTAAACATTTAGAATTACAGTTGCTATCCTACTTACACAGAATTTGAGTATATGTCAAATTTAAATTTTTTGTAAATTCTGAGATTTCAGTGCCACTTATGAGGTGACACTGAAATTGGTAATATTGGAATGGCATTTTTCTCTAGTATTTGCAATTTTTATAAACTTTTATGATTACTACTCCAAAAATGCATCCAAAACATAATAGTAAATCTAGCAATAGAGATAAATGCAAGAAGTGTTGATTTATTACAATGGAACTAAACTGGACATAACATAACTAAGTATGTTAGATGAAAAAAGTGTCTGTAAGGTGAAAATACTGCTACCAGAATCAATAGACATACTGGTCCTTGTGCTACCAATAGCTGTAATGCTAGTATTCTGGTTTAATAAATATTTCTGCCACTTTGAGCACTTTGACTGCGTGTAGTCCCAAGTTTGGCTGGAGCATAGGGAGAGTCAGCTGTAAACATTCGAAATTCTTTTAATGTATGAAATTTTCTTGTTTTTAACTCAGATATTGCTTTTGTCCTTTTTAAAAGACTGCTTATAAATACTATTTTAATCCGATTTTGAACATTATTTATCTGTAAATGTTGTCAATATTTATATTTCTATTAACTGTCACTTTCACGATTTTACACTTTAAATTGATTAGACTGTTACAATTTGTGTTCATTTTTAAATATCTTTGGGAGTTTTCATTAAAGGGAAGAAAACACAGTCAAAAAATTTATAGTTAAGCCTGTATATACATTATATTAATATGGGATGACAAGAACTCTCTGAATCAGGAAGAAAAGGGAATGATGAGAATTATATACATTTAATCAAGGAAATGTATAAAAATGTTAAACCATATGTTAACCCTGGACTAGTGAAATGGAGTTTTTTGACACCCCTAATGTTTTAAAAGTTGCACTATTTGTAGATTTTGCAACAAATATCCATTTCCTCTTTAGTAGCTTCATGATTTTATGTATAGAGCATGCTCAGAACTTATTATGGTGCTGTGGCAACTCCTGTAAGAGAAAGACGACATTTCTCAGCGGTGTTTGCAAACACCCCACATTATTAACCACGTTTTTTTCAAAATTTATAAATATTTAATTAATTTCTTTTATTTTCAAAATAAATATAATTTGAGTACATTTATTATTTATAATATAAATAGATTTTTTATTCCTGTTTATTATTATAAGTTTATTTTAATTAGTTTTATTCCCTTACAAATTCAAAATGGCAATAGAATGAATCTTGATTATTTGTGGAATGTTGAAGGTACACGTGTAGAAGTATTCAGATTGACAATGTTATTACAACACTTTTGTTTTCTCTTACACTGCCTAAGATTCGATAGTAATGTAAAACACCCTGCAAAAAGAAAAGTGGATAAGCTTGCTCCAATCAGACTTATGTTTGTTGATAACTATGTAAAAAATTATTTCCCATCAGAGTTTGTTACAATTGATGAGATGCAGCTTTCAGGGATAAATGTTCCTTCAGACAATATATACCAAGCAAACCATTGCCTATATCTATATTCTCTGTTTAGTAACATTAATATCTACACAGATGGGTCTAACAGCTCCCTTCATGTCAGCTCAAGTATCTGTATCTTCCTCAAAACTGACATATTTTGCCCAAAATATGTTAGAAGGTAAAAATACTTCTCACATACTTCCATCTATCAAGCTGTTCAGTGGGCCACTTCACTACCAAACAAAACTCTGTCTATCAACATTTACAGTTATTCTCAGTCTGTCCTAAAAGCTCTATTAAATCCCAATTGCAATAGCAATAAAATCACATACATCCAGCACCATATTAAAAATCTTGTAAATAAGATAAATTTTATATATTTTCCTGGCCATTCTGGCATACTTAGAAATGAAAAAGTCGACTTTGAGGCTAAGTCAGCTGCAAAGGACACTAACTTGGACTACACTCACACCCCTCTCTCACGTAGCAGCCTTAAAAATTATATTCACAACGCCATGAAAAAGTGGAATCAACAATGGTTGAGCAGTAAAACTGCTCAACCATCAACAAGACTATTTTCCTAGTGTTGAATGCAGGTTCTCATCACAACTTAAGAGATTTAACATTTGCTACTGCTCAACTACTTACAGAGTATGATAATTTTAGAAGCTACCTGGTGATGTATAACTGGGCAGAAACTGCCTCTTGCTTTTGCTCTACAGAAAACCTAGACACCATCGACCATATGATCTATCATTGTCAAATTTATGATCAACATACACTTATTCTGAAATTAGAAATCTTTACGCTTGGTTTCAGATGGCCATGCTCACTCGATAAGCTTGTTTAGAAGCCACTGTTTG